CAGCTTTAGTTTCCTCAGCTGCAAAATGGGAGAAGATAATGTCTGCTTCCCAGCGTTCTGTGGATTAAATGAGATAAATGCGGTAAAGCCCTGGGCGCCTTGTAAGCATGCACAAGTGTTAGCTATTATTATTAACAACCTTGGGAAGTAGATGTTATTAACCCAGACTTAACACAAGGCCATGCCGAGGCCCAGAGAGGTTAAGTTAAAACGCCCAAGGGTAAGTAGCTAGAAACTGGGGCTCTTACCCAGCTCCAGCTGACTCCACTCGCTCAAGATTGGGAGCCATAAGGACAACAGCCTTAGACTCAGCCCTGAAGCTTCAAGGACCAGGACTTGGAGTACAGAATGAACCTTCCTTTCTTAGCTCTTGAGGGCCCAGAGCAGATTGTTGAGTGAACAGTGGTAATTTTATCCATGTGATCCCTGGCTTCTCCTCTTTGGCTGAGGTCCAAGGTGTGTGTGGGGTGTGTGTGTGTGTGTGCAGTTTTGCTTATGTTTCGAGGAGGTGAGGGTTTTACCTCATTGGATTCTCTTATTCCACCAGGCCCCCTCACCTTCCGCTGCAGAGGTGAGCCACCTCCTGCTCCAGCAAAGCCCCCAGCTCTTGGGGAAAGCAGAGTTAACAGGACTATTGGGGAGTAACCTGCCAGATGGAGGACCTGGGGGGCTCAAGAGGACAGTCTGGCTGCTGATTAGATAGAAAAGTAGAGCCCAGGGGCCTATCAGAGCAATGGGCCACAGATCCCAGGTGGGTCAAGGGTGTTTGTGGAAGGTTCAGAGGGATTCTGCAAACAGAACAGAACAGAACGCAGCTGGACCTGGGGAAGAGGCAAAAACCCTGGAGGACAGACTTCACTCCTTTTCCCAGGAGGGGTTAAAGAGGACCCGAGACACACAGGCCTCAGAGCAGTCCCTGTTCCAGGGACATCCCCCACATGTCCCTTACTTCCCTGCCGTGACGCAGAGCTTGCTGACTCCCTCCCACCCCTAATGTGACCCCCGACCCTCCCCTCTTGCTCGAACACCCTTCTCAACCCTCCACGTATAGATTCTTGGACCCTCCCCTCTGCAGAGTGGAACCCCACTTTGTTCTCCAGGCCCCAATCTGCTGCACCTCCCGAGGAAGCGTTCCCTGTGTACTCCCACGCAGAGCGCACAGTTCTGATAACATTTATAGTCTAAATCACACAGTTTAGCACTTGGTTTTAAATACTGTCTGGTATTATTCCCTCATTATTTCAGAGTACGAGTTCTGCCTCCCCAGCTCATCTGAGCATCTCTCTCCCTACCATCAGAAACCAGGTCTTACACTTTATGTTCTTCCCAAACCCGCATCCACCCCACCCCTCCCCTGCCCCGATCAAGTTCCACAAACAAGGGGGCACCCACTGATTGACCAAAATAGTGGCAACGGCAAGAGGATGCTGGAACGGATGACCCCAGACTCCAGGCTTCAAGAATCCAAATCCTGAAATGTCTCATCGCACTCAGAAGAAGCCAAGTCCTCAGCCAGAACCCTAACTCTAGTCTGGCCTCCTGGTTGTTTCCCCAGCCTCGGCCTCTGCCTCTCTCACCGTCCACTACACTCCCAGTGGCCCCTCCTTAGCACCTCTCCAGCATCCCTGGCTCCATCCTGCCTCCCAGCCTGCGCACCAGCCCTTCCTGCGGCTCAGTGCTCATTTCACCTCTGCTAGTGGCCACCCTGAACAAACTGCGGCCCCCAGCCCTCAGCCCTCCCATCAATTCATCTTCTATTTCTTTTCCTTGCTGTGTTTTTCTCAGGAGCACTTAACACTAATATGCCATTTGCTTTCTAAGTTTACTTTGCTGTATTCCCAGACAGCAAAATAAAAGCTCCTTAAGGGCAGAGCTCTGTTATTCCCCTGCTGCCTGTACCTCCGGGCAGGCAGGGAGGCTCCATAAACACTGGCTAATGAAGAGGTGCACCACCCACCCTGTGTACAATGGCAGAGCATGGCCTTGCCGAGATGGGCTGTGGGTGGAGCCATTCCACAGATCCCCTGGGTGGCGGAGTCCAGCCTACCTCCTTGGTCAGGTCCAAGTATCAACCTCCTTCCTTCCCCTCTCTCCAATATTTATAGCTGCTGCACCTTCAGGACACCCCGACCTTTGCCTTCCCAAGCTACACGCGCTCTCCCCTAGCTCTGCGTGCTCAGGTGTGGTGTTTTACGGACCTCTTTCCTGCTGTCATCCCCTCCGCTTCCTTCTTTCGGGAAGGATCGGATAAGACAGACCCACTTCTCCTGGGGGACCCAAGCTGGCTGCTTCACAATCATCGCCTCTTCTACCACATGTTTTCTCTGAAGGAGCTGCCTCAAGAGATGCTTGTAAACAGAACCGGCTGCACTTGCTCTTCCCAGGACACATGAACCTGCCATGTTAACAGCAGCCCGCCGACGGTCCTAAACAGCCTGCCTGTCTCCTTTCACCGTCTCTGGGTGTATCCCATTCTCCCCTCCCCCAGGGAGCCATGCTTTGGTTGGGCCCTTTCCTGTGTCCATGGGCACTGAGTCATGGGCACTGAAGGCCCTGGAGGCTCTGGCTGAGGCAGGAAGAAACAGTGTCAGGACCGGCTCATTGGTAGAGTGCTTGTTTTGCATGTAAAAGATCCTAGGTTTGATCCCTAGCACAGACAAAAAACCCCCCGCAAAACAACAAAAACAGGTTCATGGTATTGGATATCACGACCTGTTGGAGCTGGAAGAAGGAGTCAGTGAGACTCTGGAGTTCCCTGAAGAGGGAGAGGAATCACTGTCGTGGACAGGGCAGGCTTGGGGAACTTGTTCCAGCAGGAAGAAGCTAGCTTCTTCCGAGTGGGCAACATGACTCCAGGGTACCCCTGGATCCTGGGGGTGCTGGAACCCTGAAGCCAGAGAAGGGCTAAATCCCCCCCCCCTCATTTTGTCTCCTTGGGCAGGTCTGAGCCCCAGTGGTTCCCTGTTTAAATTGGGGGTAAGAGTAGCACCCGGGTGGTAGGGGGTTGGGGATCTAGTCGGACAACACGACTTTGCACCATCCTGGCCCACGAGTGCTCGGTAAATGCTGGGTCCTCTAATGTGTGTCATTACAAGTGGAGAGGTGGAAGCCGAGAAACCGTTTTTGCCCCAGGAACTCTGTGCCTGCTCTTCATGTTGGAACTTGCTTCAAGTCCATCAAACGCTGAACAGCAGGGAAGATGTGGGTGGGAGAAACACACAGCGACGAACTGAATTCTAAAGCAGACCCTGGTTAAACTCACCCTCCTATAACAGCTTTCCAAGGCCAAGGCATCGCCCAGGTCCCCAGGAAGCACCAGAAGCCAGAGGTCAAGGCCTTGGCTACAGCAGAATGTGGGCACTGGTGACTTAGAACTGTGTGGAAGGCCAAGGTCACACAAACAAACCCAGCAGGTCTGCACCAGACCCCCTGCCTGGCAGCCCACTCTTCTAGACCCAGGGGTGTGGGGCTGTTCTGGGCAGCTAGCCAGTTCCGCCGGAAGTCCAGCTCCGAGCGCCAGGAACAGAAAGGCTGACGAGGGACACTGAGTGGTGTTAGTGATATTCATGAAGGACACCAAATACACACCCCAGTGCCTTTTCATATACAATTCCTGTGCCCCAGGCACCCTCAGCACGGCTGTCCCAACGCCCCCCACCTCTGCTAGCTGGCCCCTTTACAGGCCTTGTCCCCAGTTTAGCAAGTCTTTTCTAGTCTGCAGATGTGAGTAGCCTCCTGTACCCAGCCGTGAACCATAGCACTGCCTTCTTGATAATAATAACACGTATGTGGCACTTCCTATATTCCAGACACTGTTCTAGGCTCCTGGGCCTGTGTCCCCTCCTCTTACGAAGTAGGTACCACGATCAAACCAGTTATAGATGAGGAAACTGAGGCACATATAGGTCATATGACTTTCCCAGAGTCTCTCCCAGCAACAAGTGGTACAGCCTGGGTAGAACTTGGGTGGGTGGCTCCACCCACTCTATACCCTTAACGTGAGCCCCTCCCCCATGGCAGAGACAATAGCTGATTCATCTCTATTTCTGCACAGAGTAGGTGCTTTAGGGAAGATAAGTTGACTGAACAAGTGGAGCCTGAACGAGACAAACGCCACGTAATTTCAGCCTGTGCATTATAGCCTAGAGACGTCTACGCCACTCAGGTAGTCTAGGACAAGGCACCTCTGTTAGAGGCCAGTCACACACATTCCCGCAGCAGGACCTCTCTTGCTGTGGCTATTTTTCCATGCCCTGGGGTTTGTTTGGAAGCTATTCTCTGCCATTGTCTTCTTCCTGTTTGTGCCCCCCATTGCCTGTCCCATTTCCAGCCTTGACCGCTGACCTTGTCCCGGCCCACAGTCCTCACACCACACCCAAGCTACCTACCCCTGTTCTCCGTCTCCGTCCTTGTGACAGGAAAGGCTCACCTGAGGAGGCCGAGAACAGGAGCAATCCTGACTCACTAGGCTGGCCATGGCTGGAGGTCCAACGCTGACCTCACACGAACATGGCAATGTCCTCCTCACCCTTAGCCCCCGATGGAGGTGGAGGCCTAGGGAAAGCAGCTGCTGGCCACAGCTCGTCACACTTGTGGGTGTGAAGGAGTCTCTGCCCTCCTCATGTCCTCTGCAGTGCCCTCGCTCCTATAGCAAGCTTTCCTGGATCATGTGAGAAGGTTGTTTTTTTTTTTTTTTTTTTTTTTTCATGCAACCATTCAGCAAATATAGTCTGCACTCTAAGTAGAGAGATGAGGCTCACTCCTGAAAAGCTAGAGCAAATGTGAGCTTCATGGTAACTGTAGGATTTAGCAGAAGTCATAAACATCAGAAGAGCCACCTGAACTGAAGTGGTGGCTTAAAACAAAACAAAAACAAACAAACAAACAAAAAAACAACGGAGGGCAGTGCTCCATCCTCTCCAGGCCCCCCAGACTCCCCAGCTAGGGAGCACGGACTATGATGCAGCCCGTTAGGAGGACGGAATGCAACGGTTTCTGTAACGGTCCTCGCAAAGCTTCCTAAACTATCACTGCGTCCCTCCTGGTACACACCACTGCCTTCTGCACAGCCCTGGCCTCCAAGACAGATGATGGTGGTGTGTAAACGGCTCCATCCTCCCAGGTTAGAAAGGACTTCAGTGGCACGTCACATATGGAAAGCAACGGGCCTGGGATCTCAAGGGCCACTCCGTGAGTGTGTTGTTAATTTGCTAGGATTATTTATACTCCTCCTCTCCCTCCACCAAACCTTTGAAAGACACGGGTGGGCGTGGAGCTAACCAACGATCAAGTTCAGGTACCAGTTCAGCTCTGCCGGCGACATGGCGGTTTGCCGATTACTTGTATCCTCCACTCTTAAACTCGTGGCAGGCACACAGTAGGTGTTCAATAAGTAGTTGTTGGATGAATAAGTTTTTAAAGAGCAAAGAGTTTTCTCCTGTCCTTCGAAGAAAAGAAACATGGGAGCAGAGAGCAGGAGGAGCAAGTGAGTGAATGGCAGGGCCTAGGGGACGCCAGGGCAAGGGAATTCAGGTGCCCGACCCGCCAGCCTGGGACTCGCTGCAAAGGGGATTCATCGGGGGCCACTGTGTGTGCGCTCCCACTATCAAGATGTGAGGGAGCCATTGCGTGCCCAGCTTGTGGTTTAAGCTACATTTTACAGAAAGGCAAAGGGAGAGGCAGAGACCCGGGAGGAAGGGAGGGAGGTAAACTGGGAGAGGAGGAGGAGGGGAAGAGTGAGAGATGAGCAGTGTAATGTGAGGGCAGAGGGAGACAGAGAGGTGCTTGAGGAAGAGAGGGGAATGAAGGAGGGATGGGAGGAAAGGGGAGGCACAGGCAGAGAGCAAGTGACCTGCAGGCCTAGCTTGAGGCTTAGATCTCCCAGTGCCTGCTGAGTTCCTCAGGGTAGGCTCTGTCAGATGTGGGTTTGGGGAGGCTTCTAGGTCCTGGACCCTGGGAGTGTCAAAATCCCTGAAACGCCAGCGAGTCTTCATGGCGCCCTTTCCAAATAACGTTCTACCCCAGACCCCAGCACCCATAGACAGGCATCTGGAAACATCTGAGGCAGCACAGGGAAGCAAGGAGACCTGAGAGGCACAGACCCCTAACTGTGTTCCTTTTCTTCCCTTCTTCCCAACATCTCCTGGTCAGGAAAGTGGGTCAAGTCACCCACATGTGACTTTTTCTGGTAAGTAGAAGACCCATTGGCGGGGCGGGGGGCGGGGTGCTGTGCGTCCTGCACTCACCCTGCCCATCTGTGCTCTTTTGGAGGACTGTTCAGTGGGCCGCTGACAGGAGGTCGCTGGCCTTCTCCCTCAGAAAGGGAACCCCGGCCAGAGAGATGTCGAGAACAGGGGGCATGGAGCCAGCCATCTTTCTGGATAAGTAAAGACGCCTAGGTCTTTTTGCTTTTGGTCCCCTCGGCCATGGTAAAGACGCTGGCAAGAGGCCACTCCTGCTGTCCTGACCTGGCATCTCCCTCCACTGCCCTCCCCCTCCTGGGGTCTTCAAGCAGAGGGGCCTGCCAGTCCATCTCTGGCAACCAGCGGCAACCCGCGCTGTGCCCAGCCCACCCCCTCCAAGCCCTGCCCGTCGCCCAATTAGAAGCTGCGTTGGCTTCAACAGATGGGAGCTGCGGCAGCCTGAGGAACAGAGCACAAAGCCCAGCTGACATTTTTCTTCCTGTTCATTTGGTGGGGCGGGGGGGGGGGAGGAGGGAGGAAGGGCAGGAGCAGCCGGGAGCACTGTAACACCCCACTCGGGCCCACCCCCGGGGTCCAGTTCACCCCACCTCTTCAGCGGCTCGGCTCCGCTGCCTCACCCCCGCCGCTGGCGGCTCTTGGCTGGCTGGGCAGCCTGCGCCCGCACAGCCCTGTCGTGCCAGCAGGACAGACGGCCCACCTGTGGCTGGCCAGCCCAGCCTGCCGGGATGCGGTGGCCTCGGAGCTGCTTCAAACGGCACAGCACCCCGGCTAAGGCGGCCCGGCCCCTCCCCCACTCGAATGTCCCATCCTGGACTGCAGTGGGACCCCAGTCCCCCCACCCGGGAGGAGCCTGGCTCTCGGCGCCAGACACTTCGAACAGACCCAACCGAGGCCATCCTGTCTCTGCCGCACGGCCACCACCCGGGCTCCCAGGAAGGGAAAGTCCCCTAGGCTCCGGTGCGCTTCCATCCCGTGAGTCCGCCTCTGTCACGCCCTCCCTAACCCCGGGGGCCACCTCTCCGGCTCCTCCACATCTCCAGGGCTCCCCGCTACCCAGCAACAGTTTGAGGGGTTGGGGCTTCTCCTGGTAGGTTCAGGCCCCGACCCCCCTCCCCCGCCGCCCGGGTCCAGCCGGCGCAGAGGCCACCTCCTCTGCATCCTCCAGCTCTCCTTCCCTCGCCCCTCCCGGCCTTCTCCCCAAGTCACCAGCTCTCTCCTGCAGGCATCTTGGCGACCGCGGCGGTCGCGGCCGCGCTCCCCTCCCCCACCCGGCCAGCAGAGTCCGAGCTGCGGGGACCGGATCGCGGCGACCCTCGCGGCCACGCCAGAGGAGGCCTCGGCGACCACGACCCCGGCCGCCCGGGAGCCGCACACTCACCGCGCGGGAGCCGTCCTATGTCTGTCGCTCGCCTCCCGGCTTGGGGACGTTGCTCCGCCGTCTCCGCGGCGCGCCGCCACCCAGGCCCGGCGAGCTCGCGGGGCGCCTTCCCCAACCTGCACTTGTCCTGGGAGTGGTCGCGATGCCGAGCCCGCGAGGACGTCAGGGGAATGGCAGGGTCCCCAATCCTGCGTGCATGGGGCCGGAGGCTGGCGGCCAGGGCCGGGCGCTCCCGGAGCGCCGCGCGTCTGCGGAGCACAGAGCAGGCCCGCGGCGCCCGGCGCCCCCGCCGCGCCTCCTCCCTCCCGGCTGCTCGCGCTCGTCCTCCTCACTAGCTGCTCCGCCGCGCTCCCAACCTTCCCAGCCCACTCTGGTCGCCTCCTCCCTGTCTGCTTGCCACGCCAACCCCCTCCAGTCCTGCTGCCATTTTAACTCCTGAGTGGCCAGAAGCCCCTTCTGCCTCATGTGCTCACACCCCAGAGGAAGGAGTTGGGTGGGGCACGAGGCTGTAGTTGGAGCGGTTCTTCTGCATCCAGACCCAAGGCTTGCGGGCCAGAGGGAGAAGGGAATAGCGCTTGGGGATCAGGGGAGAAGTGGATAGCAATTGCTGATGCTCCCTCCGACCCTCTTGCGAAAGCCAGAAAGGACAGATGGGAAATTCAGTTTGTAGGACAGGTGTGGCTCATAGGCAAAGCTGTGGCTGTGGTCACAGTGTTGCATGGCGCTCCCCTCCCCCAGGTTTTCGGTGGGTAAGGACGGTAGCGGTGGGTGGGTTTGTCCATGGGCACTGGTGGCTCTTCTGTGAAGGGAGGAGTAGCCTTCCCAGCTCTGCCTCCAGAGTCGGCCGCTCTAGCCTCCTGACACTTCGTAAAGGGGGTTAGTCTCGGTGGGGTCGAGGAAGGAACTGACAGGACCACACAGGGACTTGGCTGCAGTGTCCTCCACCTGCAAGGCTGGCCATGATGAAGCCATGAAACCAGGGAGTGGAGCAAGACCCCGTGCATGCAGAAAAGGACTACTGCTTGGTGGCTTAGAAAATGTGGGTCATTACCACACATCGGGGCTTAGAAGAGCAAAGTTCCCTGCAGCAGTGAAAAGGCTTCAGGCCCAAGTCTTTGAGAGGCCTTCGGTGTGGGCCACTCAGAATGGACTCCAGAGCTCAGCTTCATAGCAGGCCACGCCCAATCAGAGCCTGGAAAATCAATCAGAAGATGGAGCCCAAGGTATGGAGACTTTTCTGCAAGTCAGGGCCTCCTTAGGCTGCCATTATTCACACAGGGCTCCAGCTCAGTGCTCCTGGCTAGACACGGAGCTTCTGGGTCCTGTCTTTTCTAAGGGCACAACCAGCAGTGACAGCCAAGGCTACAGGCTTGCAAAGTGGACTCGAAGTTCTGTATAGATGGAGGAGTTGGCCCCTTCATCCATCCAATAAGCGCATGCTAAGTTTCCGCGGAACCACTGCCCGGGCCTCCCCCTGCCGCCCCTGCTGTGAGGTATAATGGCCTGCAGGAGCTGAGAGGGACAAGCTGGAAGTACATGAAACAAATTTTAGCATTTCAAGGCAATGGAAGGTGCCATAGAAACACAGAAAGAAAATGCCATTATGGGCTCTGGTTATTCATGGGAGGTTTTATGGAGGAGCTGAGCTTCCAGCTGAGCCCAGCTGGAGGGATAGGATTTAAACCGGCAGAGAAAATGGGGACCAGCAAGGCAGGAAAGTTGAGGCAAGCAAAATGGAATGGGCTGTCTGGAGGCGGAGGGCGGCGGCGGAAACTTAGAGGGAACTAGGAGGCACCATTTCCACACAGCTCTGGTCACAAACTGGCTTATGTCCCCATTTCACAGTCTGGAGAATGAAGGCTGGGAATGGCTGGAATTGGAGCCCTCACCCTGGCGGCACTCTAACCCTAGTAATAGGACTTCAGTTATGCAGAGTGGGAGCCTGTGATTAAGGGCTTGAAACTCGGGGCTCACTCGTTCATCTGTGGCCCAGGACACAGTGATATCGGGCGGCCAGAGGCTGGGAAGGTGGCAGCTCTGGAGACACGGAGCGAAGGGGCAGTAAGAAAGGAGAATAAGCCGAGCGGTGGTGGTGGCAGTGGTGGCGGTGGCACACGCCTTTAATCCCAGCACTCGGGAGGCAGAGGCAGGCGGATCTCTGTGAGTTCGAGGTTAGTCTGGTCTACAGAGTGAGTTCCAGGAAAGGCACAAAGCTACACAGAGAAACGCTGTCTCAGAAAAAACAAAGCACACACACACAAAAAAACCAAACCAAACCAAACCAAAACAAAAAAACAAAACAAAAAACAAAAAAAAAAAAAAAAAGGAAGGAGAATAAATGCCCCAACCTTTGTGAGGAAGCCTTGGCAGAGCAGAAGGGTTCCGAACTTGGCCCCAACCTTTTGAGTCTGAACTTAGGAGATGCTTGTCAAGTCCATGGATGCTTGTCAAGTCCATGGAGCCATTTTTCCAGCCTGAAGGCCACCATCAATGTATGCAGACTGATGTCCAAAAGGAGGCGACTTTGCCAAGCCTTCCCAGCTCCGGGTCTGAGCTGGCACTCCCAGCCCCCCTCCCCCACCTCCTATTACCCACGCCACCTAGTGTGTCTTAGCCCACCTGGAGCACAAACCTTGGAAGGCTGCACCCGACCCAGGCAACACTGAGATGTTACAGTGGCCGCTGTTGTAGCTTTTGAGACAGGTCTCTGTAGCCCAGGCTATCTTCAATCTTGTGATCCTCCTGTCTCAGCCTTCTGAGTGCTGGGATCACAGGCATGTGCCACCACATCTGGTAACAACTAGATTAGTGAACAAATAATACTTGCTACTGGCTGATCCTGGAGCGTCAGACCCTGTTACACACGAGGTAAACATGAGAGAATCACATGAGCCCTTACTTTTTATTTTTATTTTTTGGTTTTTCGAGACAGAGTTTCTCTGTGTAGCTTTGCGCCTTTCCTGGAACTCATAGAGTTGTAGACCAGGCTGGCCTCGAACTCATAGAGATCCGCCTGCCTCTGCCTCCCGAGTGCTGGGATTAAAGGCATGCACCACCACCACCCGGCCACATGAGCTCTTATAAACTAGTGGGAAACGATTTAGAGTCAGGGAGATTTGGGCCTGGAACTTACTGGTCCTCACTCTGTGTGGCTTTGGGAAGCTTATTGAACTTCTCTTTCTGTGGGAAAAAAAAATATGAATGTTTAGTTTAATCCATAGAGAGCAGTCCGTTAGTCAAGAGTAGCATTGGGCATTTGCTGATTGTGCACTGTAGGCAAGGGTAGTGATCTCATTTGTGAATCATCTAACTGAAAAGTCCAGCAGGCACAGTGAGGCCACAGTCCCAGCTGTTTCAGAGGCTGAGGCAGGAAGAGTATAAGCCTGGGCACTTTATCAGGACCCTGCTTCAAAACAAAAATAAAACCTGGGCGGTGGTGGCACACACTTTTAATCCCAGCACTCATCTTGAGAAACCAAACAAACAAAAAACAAAAATAAAAAAGGGGGTGTGTGACTCAGAGGTACAGACCTTGCCTGGTGTGCACGAGGCTTCGGGTTCAACCCTCAACACTTAAAAAAAAAAATACAACAACAAAAGAGAAAATCCCACCCAGCCTACGACTCTGGAAATAGATCAACATTTTTATAGTTAGAACACAATAGGACTGAGATCAGAACTCACGGCCCTTGCACACAGAGTCCATGCATGGAGATGGTTGCCTGTTACACTTCTTCCAGAAAGAGGGTAGCAATCCAGGCATGAATGTGCATTCAAGGATGATCTGCGATGGAACAGGGGATGCACACATCTGAGGTGGGCATGGTGTCTGGATGCAGCATCACAGTGAACAACAGGCATTTTTCTCTCAACTTGCTCCATGCTACCATTTCCCCCTTTACTTTTATTTTATGAATGTCTGTGTACCACATGTGTGCAATGCCCACAGAGGGAGAAAGAGGGCATTGGACTCCCTGGAACTGGAGTTACAGATGGTTGTGAATGTGGGTGCTGAAAAATCAAACCCAGGTCCTCTGGGAGAGCAGCCAGGGCTCTTGACTCCAACCCCAAATAAACTTTTTTTGAGGCAGAGTCTTGTTCAAAAGTCTTGTAGGGAAGACTTGGCAGAGCCTAAGTGAGTCGAAGGGGTTAAAACTTGCTCTCAAGCTCTTGAGTCTGATCTTACAAGACGCTTGTAAGGAGCCGTTCTCCTAGCCTTAAGGCCACCGTCAGTGTGTGCAGTCTGATGTCAGGAAGGAGTGGCCTGGAATGCATTAGTAGACCAGGCTTGCCTTGAACTTACAGAGACCCGCTTACCTCTGCCAGGAGTGACATTCTCAGGCAGATGCTTCCCTGGGAAGAGATGGGGACTCAATGTACAGGCCTTTGGAAGCATGTACATAATTACTCAGAGGATTTTTAATGGCTCTGTTATTGACCTTTTGCCCTTCAAGTTTAATCTCTGGGCTTAGTAAGTACATTGTCCTGCCAGGGAGCCTAAGACTCTAGAACATCAGAGTGTCTCAAGAGAGGGATGCTGGGATTGTGTACCCCTAGAAATAACCCTTGGATCAACTTCACTCGGCTGTTTAGTGGAGGGATCAGGACCCTGAACTGACGGGTGTGCTGTTTGTATATTTGGAGGCTCCAAGGAGAGGAGCCTGAAGCCTGAGCATACAACACATAGGGAGAGTGTCTCAAAGATGAGCCGAGACAGAGAAGGAATGCTGGTAGCATTCTTCTCTTTCAAGGACCCTCCACTGCTCAGCTCCCATCTCAGGAAGTCATCTCAGGGGTCAGTGAGGACTTTTGTTCCATCAGTGACTCAGCTACAGGGAGTGTGACCCTGGAGCAGTTGGTTTCAATATGGGAGTCACGCAGAATGATTATGTAGACCTTGCTTTCAAATGTGCTGGCTGGAGTGTCCACTGCTGTCTGTACCCCTACTTGGGCCCCCCAAGGTGTCTTAGTCACGGTTCTGTTGCTGTGAAGAGACACCATGATCAAGGCAACTCTTGTGGAAGAAAGCATTATTAATTAGGGCCTTGCCTACGGTTTCGGAGGCTTCGTTCATTATTATCATTGCTCAGGCAGGTGCTGTGCTGGAGAAGTAGCTGAAAGCTACTATATCCTTATCTACAAGCAGAGCGGCGGGCATGCGCACACGTGAGTGAGTGAGTGAGTGTGTGTGTGTGTGTGTGTGTGTGTGTGTGTGTGTGTGTGTGTATAGCCTGGCATGGGTTTTTGAAACCTCAAAGCCTGCCCCCAGTGACACACTTCCTCCGATATGGCCACACCTCCTAATCCTTCTAGTCCTTTCAGAGTTCCACTCTCTGGTGTCTAAGCATTCAAACCTATGAGCCTATGGGGGCCATTCTTATTCCAACCACCACACCAGTGCAGAGTCTTGTCCTTTGGGGAGGGAAGAGTGAAGGAAGAGCAGAGCCACTCAGCCCAAGGCCGATGCACGGTGAAGCTAAGGCAGATTAAAGCTGGGGGTTTCTTGCCTGTGAAGCACCAGGAGCATCAGCATCATTGAGAGGTGGGTGTTGTAGAGTGTTCTTGGTGGGGAGGGGAAGCCATCTTACAATCAGCAACTATTATAACGTGGGCATTTATGATGAATCGAACGAAGGGCCTCAAGAGGAAAGGACCGCGTTCCCAATGCTCATGTACTTTGTTGTGACTTCCTGTCTTGTCCTAGATAAAAATCGCCACTGGGCGTCAGGGTGGGTGAGTACCGGAGAGGTGGCTCAGCCGTTAAGAGCACTGGCTGCTCTTAAGAGGACCCAGGTTTGATTCCCAGCATCTACATGGCGGCTCACAACCATATGTAACTCTAGTTCCAGCAATCTTATGTCCTCTTCTGGCCTTCTCAGACACCAGGCTTGCAAGTGGTGCATGGACATACCAGCAGGCAAAACACCCATACACATAAAATATACATAATAAATGCATTTTTAAAAATTAAAAAATTACCATTGGAGTTGATTTTGTGGGTATTTTTTTTTTGAGAGTTTGTTGTTGTTTATTTGTTTGCTTTTCATGGCACTGGGGAGCTAATCCGGGCGTCGTGCACGCTGGACAGTTAGACTGCTAACTAAATTATACTCCCAGTCCCAGGATCTTCCCTGGCCACCTGCCCTTAGGAAGCTGCCGGCACCCACAGATACCCTGGGAGCTCAGTGAACCAGAAAGGCAGCCAGCCATGTACTGCAGACAGCAGCAAAGCTTGCTGCAGGAAGCCCTCGAATTTAGCCTGGGTTATATTCCTGGAAATGGCACTGCTGGGTAAAAACAAAACAGTGTAGGATGAATCTGTTTTTACCCATACGCAATGTGATAACAGAAACTGCACTCCTCACTGAGGTCCTGGTGCCCAGTTGTTTGTAGGTGTGAGCATAAACACCATATTTAGTCACCTGTACGTGATACACCTGTACTTTGTGTTTCTGAAACGGAACCTGAGTATCTAAAACAGTTAGACCGGGCAATATGGTAACCAAATCCCATTCTGTTTAATTTAATGCATTCACAGAATTCCCAGGGGAGTCAGGTGTGGCTGTGCATGCCTTTGATACAGGCACTCCGGAGGCAGAGGCAGGCAGAACTAACTCTGTGAGTTTGAGGCCAGCCTGGTTTACTCAGTGAGTTCCAGGATACATAGTGAAGTCCATGGGGGGACTTGCTGGGAGAAATGCTATTTTGGGGAGAAGGAGCGTGGAGCAGATGAGAGACTGTTCTTCCTCCGTAGAGACCCCAATAGACAAAAGGGTGGTTCTCAGAAGTCTGAAGCTGGAGTCGGGGAGCTGTGCCACACAGCGCATCTGGAAACAGGCTGTCCAGGCAGCTGGTACAGCTGACCCATACCAGTGCACACACCTCTTAAGTCAAGGGCAACCGACTAATAAATCAGGAATTGGGGCATCTGGAGGCGAATCTGGAATGCCTGGATCAGAATGACGCTGGACCTTGGAGTCCTGCTCTAGAAGTGTTTTCTAGAGGAGTGAACTTTCCAGATACCCCAGGCAGTAGGGATGGTGAAGATTACCAAGAGTTCGGGGCCGTAGATTTAACTTCTGGCCACCTCACCATAGCCCTCAGGCTGTCAGGAAGACCACCCCCACAGGCTCGTCACCCACCTCTCCTCTACTTGGTGATGTTGAAACTGCAGGTGGAGACCCACTTGTGGGTCTCAATAAGAGCTTTAAAAGCAGATGAAATAGAAGAGGGGTGTATTGCAGTAGGCCCTCTGTTCCAGGTTCCCAGAAACATATCTGTGGGAGTCATGGAGTCCTGTGGGTCCTTCCAAGGAGTGACTGTTGAACTTTGGTTATTTAATTTCAAAGCCTGCAAAAAAGTTACAAGTCGGGTGTTTCACGTGCTCAGAAGGAAACACATGCCTCTGTGCTGGGCATTCTTAGGCTGAACAGTGTCTTCTTTTCCAGTCAGACTCCATTCATTTCTGAACATGTCATTTCAGAAATTGTTCACTGGGACTCTGAGTCTCCTGATCCTGTTCTTTAAAAACAAAAACACCAAAAACTTGCCGCTGTCTCTTACTATTATATCTTCCTTCCTATTATTATTTCTTATTACCTTAGGAAGGAGGTCATTATGGTCTGGCTTCTAATAGTTGAATGACTTCCAACATCCATCTTAGGACCCTCCAAAGATCATGCCTACAGTCTGTCCCCTCAGCTACTTCCTGGGTTTCGTTTCAGTCTTTATTCTTATTTGTACCAGTGTTATACAGGTGTACAAGCCAGGAGTGTGCAGGCTGGGGTCTAAGGGACTGAATGTTTCCCTGGGTCAAACAATGCTGCTGACTGGGGGGTGAGCTGCCTCTGTCTGAGACCTCATTTTCAGAGACTTATTGTAGACGAAATTCTAAAGGTCTTATTAAATAAGAAACACAAAGCCAAATACAGAGTTAAAAGCCCAAGAGATCAGAGCACTTTAGCCTTTAGCCTACCAGGTGCTGCCATCCTTCCCCTGAGAGAGAGAGACCTTCTCCTGTGTGACCTTTTTATTGCCTTTCTGTTCTACCTTCTCATTGGCTCTAAACCCAACCACATGATTTCCTCATCACTGCCTGTCTATACAGACCTCCAGGTCTCTATGGTTCGTATTGGGATTAAAGGTTTGGGTCACCACTTGGCTGTGTCCTTGAGAACACAGAGACTCTGCCTGCCATGTGATCGCATTAAGGGCGTGTGCCACCACTACTGGACTTCTGCTAAATGGCTTGCTTTTAGCTCTGATCCCCAGGCAACTTTATTTATTAACATGCAAATAAAATCACATTTCAGCACAAATAAAATACCACCATAGACTTACAGAAAAGTGAATGGGTAAAAGCTACTGGGTCCACATGACCCCTGGGTCCCTATGACTCCTGGGACTGTGGTATCCCAGTCTTATTGTTTAGAAACCATCAAACAGTCCAGGCAAGGGCTGAGCAACTAGTATGGAGCTCCCTCAAGCCAGCAAAGTATCCAAGTACACAGTGGAGCGGTGCTTTGAGGAGTCATCCTACACATGCAAAATCCCAGGAGGAAAGCCGGGTGGTGGTGGCAGCGGCGGCGGCGGCGGCGGCGGCGGCGGCGGCGGCGGCGGCGGCGGCGGCGGCGCACGCCTTTAATCCCAGCACTTGGGAGGCAGAGCCAGGCGGATCTCTGTGAGTTCGAGACCAGCCTGGGCTACCAAGTGAGTTCCAGGAAAAGGCGCAAAGCTACACAGAGAAACCCTGTCTCGAAAAACAAAACAAAACAAAACAAAACAACAACAACAACAACAACAACAAAAAAAAAAGATCCCAGGAGGAGCCTTGCTGAGCCGGCCCTGTGTCTCTGCCTCACCTCAGTCCAGGCCACCTCAGGACAGTCCGAGATGTGTAGCCTGGGCCTAGATCCCCACCCCAAGACCACACTGTCTCTGGGTTTGTTTTGTTTGTACTTCTCTCCCTTGAAAATGGTCCTGTCCTTCATGACAAGGATCCTAAAATCCCCAGAGATGCCTGTCAAAGGGATTAAAGTGGTGAGTCAGAAGCTCCACCCTTCTGTCATGGCCCATCGCTCCTCTCATAATTCTCAGTTTACTCCCCCCTCCCCACCCCCCACTCCATCCCGGGAGATGTGGACCAGCCAGCCACTGGCTACCCCTCACCCCATCCCGGGAGATGTGGACCAGCCAGCCACTGGCCACCCCCCACCCCATCCCGGGAGATGTGGACCAGCCAGCCACTGGCCGCAGCTGCTGCCTGTGCGCACCTCAGGACCGTTCCTCAAGTGGCATCTGCGTCTTTCCTTTACTTATATCAAATAACTGTTCCCTCGCTGGAGCGTTCTCTCTGTCTGTGTCTGTCTCTGTCTTTATCTCTCTGTCGTCTGTGTCTATGTCTGTCTATCTGTCTCTGTCTCGTAGGGAAGAGAATTTAGAAGAAGAAAAGTAGGAGAAAGAAGAGGTGTTCATCCTTCCTGGGTAAGGGAGTCTGGCAGTCTGAAGCCCGAGATAAAGGGCGACCCCTGAAGTATTGGGCAGAGTCCAGGGCCCTCAGTCACTGTGGCCTGTTTCTGCTTCACTAAAAGTCCAGAGCCTACAGAGACCCCAGGTCCCTGCCTCAGCTTCCGGAGGTCTCACTCCAAAGGGAAGATGACTTTCCTGTGGACTCACCTGGACACCCCAGCCACAGAACGGTAGGATTTCAGATACCTGCTGGGGAAACAGAAGACGAAGGACCAGAGTCAGAAGGCAGCGCCTCTCCTTCCTGGCGTTCCTGCCCAGATTGAGTGACTAGCGTTTGTCATTTCCAGGCTGCTCTCTGCACAAGAAGGCACGTTCAGATCCAGGTTTTAATTGTGTGTGATTTTAGCTGAGATGGCGTTAATGCATTTCCTCTGCTTTTTCAGCGCTTCCTTCTCCGTCCTGGCGAAATTATCTGGAACGCTTCTTTCTTAAGGACAAAGAGAAAATGCTGATCTGGCTCCTTTCCCACTGACTGAGGCTCAGAATACTTGGGGGTTGCCAGATGGCTGAGAGGGGCTGGTCCCCCACTACCTGCCCTCCTAGCACTACAGGTGCCCAATGAGAAGCTTCCTGCTCTAAGTCCAGGTGGACGCCAGGCATGTCCCCAACTGAGGAGACTTTCAGCCAGGCCTACTCCTGTTTCCAAAATGACAGTTTTTCCTTCACTCAGCCTTTGGAGGGAAAGGAACAGCTTGACATCCCTGAAGGCCTGAAGGGACTGTGTTAACTTCAAAGAGATGGACAGAAGAGGCAACAGGAGTCCCCGAGAGTGCTACCTTCTAACTGGCTGGTGGTGTTTTACATGTTTCTTTTCTTTTTTTTTTAAATTAAGAAAAATTTTCCATTCATTTTACACACCAATCAAAGACCCCCCTTTTCCCTACTTCCACCCCCCCTTAATTTTTTTCTTTTCATTCAAGGTCTTTTTGGTCTAAACATCACAATGTCACACCTGCACATGGAGATTCTGCGGCATTTTGCTCCAGAGTTTTGTCCTCAATCAGGAGTTACTGCTTTTCTGTGAGTCCAGACTAGCTAAGGCCATAGGGTTGATCCTGAGTAACTCCGACTTTTGTTAGACAAATTAATAAAAATGAAGGGATTTTTGTTTTCCAAATGTAGAATTTTGAGTATGTTTTTTCTTTCCCATTCCAGCTGAGTCCCACCTTGGAGGAGAAACTCCCCACCCCCCCCACCCCCGCTCCCCATTGGAGGATGGAAGAATCGGAAATTAGAGAGACCTAGGCCATGACCGGTGGGGACTGTTCAACAGCCCTTTTGTCCCTTGTCTTCCTCATTCTGTGAAATCTTTGATCATTCTGGCATCTAGTAGGAAATTCAATAAATACATGTTTCTCGAATCTTAAAGTATTAAATAGTGAAAACATGGGCCTGGAGAGATAGCTCAATGTTAAGAGTGCTTCCTGCTCTTTGGTTCCCAGCCCCCATACTGGGCGGCTCACAACTGTCTGTATAACTCCAGCTCCAAGGAAACCAGTGCCTCCTTCTGACCTCCACAGCACTCCCACACACACGTCATTCACTCACACATATGCACGTATGTGTAACAAAATCTTTAAATCATCAGAAAGTGCTTAACACTGCACTGGTGCCTGGCCCCTGACTAGGTGTGCAGTGCTAGCCTTCGCTGCCGAGGCTCCTACCCTGCCTCTTCTACGTGCCCGCCTGTCCGCCCCCTATTGAGAGGCTCTAGCTGAGCAGAGCTTCCATTCTTAAGATGTCCTGAGCCTTGGCAAGACCTCAGCCCTCAAACTTGCTTCACCTCCCAATGTGACCACCTGCTCACATGCCAGTTTCTTTGGCACTGGCCAAAAGCCTAGTGCATAGTAGGGCTTCCTCAAGGGTCCATCCGGAAGAAATGGTCTGGTGCTCTCTACTTAGCAGCCCTCCAGGCAGGTAAGCCTTGGAGAAGCTGGGCCTGGACCATGAAACTTCCTAGTGAACAATTCAGCGTCTTTGACTATGTGCTGTGTGCACCTGGCTCTGATTTACTGAGCACATTATTATGGCGTGGCTATCACCCTGAGCACCCCATCTTTCTAGCATGGCTAGGCCTTTACTGGAGGCCAACATCACTCTAATGGCTAAAAATTTTTCCTAAGTTCTCCCCAGGTTGCTCTGAATAGCTCTGGAGTGTGGATAGCTTTTCCTTCCATTAGCCCTTTCATTTCCCAGCGGAGAGAGCAGCAGCCTCAGCCTCTAAAGGGCAATAAGTACCTGTTTCTTTCCCCGTGGAGCCCTATCCCGAGCTCAGAGAACGCCTCTGAGTGTATAGTAGAGATCTTTCTGGTCCCCAGATGGGCTCTCTGCTCACTCACCCCTCACTGAAACTTTTTCCAAAGCAGACATGCTTACTATGATGGTTAGTCTTGATTGCCAACTTGAAGAGATTTAGAATCGCCATGGAAACCAATCTCTGAGCATGCCTGTGAGGCAGAAAGTGAGCTGAGCATTGCAATCACTGTTCTCTGGTTCCTGACTCTGGATGCCGTGCGGGTGAGCGGCTGCCTGCTCCTGCCGCTGTGTCTTCCCCGCCGTGATGGGCTGCATCCCCTAGCGCTACGGGGAGGCAAATAAACCTCAAGTTGCTTTTGTCAGGTATTTTGTTGAAGTAAAGAGAAAAATGACTGCCACCCTTGCCTTTGCCTTCCCATAGAGTGTCACGGGTCGTGAAGAGCCTGAACAAGTCACAGAAGCTTTATTTGTAAATGGCATTTAGTGGGTGAATGATTAGACCAAGCATGGTACACCAGTGTCACCAAGTACTGCCCAGTAGCAAAAAAAAAAAAAAAGTAATTTGACTGATGCATGTGGCAACTTGGATGGATGTCACAGGCACTGTGCTGAGTAGAAAAAAAACCCAAACAACTGATTTCAAAGGTCACCTACTGCATGATTGATTCTGTTCCCAAGACATCCTCAAAATGACAGAATTATACCAATGGAAAACAGGTGAGTAGTTGCCAGGGCCTGGGGAGGAGAGTCATGCTCTGACTCTCTAGGGACAGTATGAGGATATTTGTCAATGGGACAATTGTGTGTGTGGCCTAGTCATCATTCACGATGGTGATGACATGACATCCCCAACACACACACACACACATACACACACACAACACACACAACACACACACACAACACACAAATACACACACACATACACACACACAACACACACATACACACACATACACACACATACACACAACACACACACATACACACACATACACACAACACACACACATACACACACATACACACACATACACACAACACACACACATACACACAACACACACACATACACACACATACATACACACATACACACACACATACACACATACACACATACACACACACGCACACATACACACACACAACACACACACATACACACATACACACATACACACACACAACACACACACATACACACATACACACATACACACACACACATACACACACGCACACATATACACACTCATGCACACATACACACACACATACACACATACACACATACACACACAACACACACATACACACACAACACACACACACGCACACATACACACACACATACACGCACACATACA